CAAAGGGTCTGTCCGAAGAGTCTGGGGGGCCCAGCTATGGTTTGAATGTGTCTTTCAAATTTCATATTTTGGAAATTTAGTCCCCAAATTCATATGTTTATGGTATTTGGAGATGGGGCCTTTGGGAGGTAATTAGAATTAGAGAAAGTCATCAGAGTGGAGACCCCATGAGGAGACTGGTGGCTTTATAAGAAGAGGAAGAGACTTGAGCTGATATACTCTTGCCCTCTTACCATGCAATGTCTTCTACCATGTTATAACACAACAGGAAGGCTCTCACAAGATGCCAGTGCCATGCCCTTGGACGTCACGGCCTTCAGAACTGTAAGAAATAAATTTCTTCTTTTCATCAATTACCCAATCTCAGCTATTCAGTTTTTGCAACAGCAAACAAGCTTGTCTTACTTTGCCCTCTTGAGTTGAAAGATGTGGATCCAAGACTTCAGGCCCCGAAGTTTTTTTTTGGGGGTGGGTGGGTATGGGGTTTCACTGTGGCCTTGAACTCCTGGGCTTAAGTAATTCTTCTGCCTCTGCCTTCCAAGTAGCTGGGACTTTAGGTATGCACTTCTATGCCCAGCTAACCCTGAAGTTTTGCTGCAAAGAAGAACTTGGTATGATCCTTTCCAAAGGAGTTCAAGGGCAGTATTTCTCTAGTGTCTTTTCCAAAAGACCCAATTTCTATGTTCCAGGTTGTGAAAGATCGGGTTGTCATTACTTAGTGGGTCACAAAGGGCTTTCGCCTTGTGAAAACATACTTGGGCCTACTTTTGCAATATGGAGTCATGTCAGAGTTTGTAAGAGCAGGAGATACATGAGGTTCTATTATTAGGGTCATAGGGCTTCCAGTACCTATTTCATATGGGGTCAATCTGTGTTTTCCACTGGGGATAGATATGATTGTCATTAAGGCCAACAGTAATGCTTTTGGCTAAGGCAATGCAGTCAATTTAGTTAATTTTTCCTAATACCATTTGTTTGTAGTATATTTTTTAACTGTTTTATAACTTGTTCCATGAAACAAGTACCTGTATTACTGGAGGTTTCTCCAGGAATGCCCGATAAGGGAAGGACATTTTCTAGTAGTCTTTTAGCTATTATCATAGCACTGGCCTTCCTGCATGGAAAAGCTTCTACAAAACCAGAAAACATGCATTGAAAGTGGCGTTAGAAGGAAACTCATTTTCAGTGTTCCAGTGATCCAGTAGGTGCCAGAAATGTATCACCTGAGGTTTTTATTGTCTTACCAGAATTATGGGTTTGACAAACCAAACTTGGTTATAAACCACTATAGCAATTTCAGAACAGTTACCCCACCAATTTTTTCCCCATAATTTTTATTGTTTTTATCTGCTCCATGATGAGTCATAGAGTACAGAGCTTTTAATAATGGAAGATTTAAGGACTCAAAAGGGATCAGGAGGCTATCCAGCATGAGTCCATGCTTAACATTGAATTTACACCCTCTTAAATAGCAGTTTTGTTTCTCCAATTCAGGTGCATTTCAATGTTTATTAAATAGGTTATCATAGGTAATTTGTCTTGGATCAATCTTATGGAGTACATTCAAATTGTACATCTTAATAATTTCGGTACTGGCTATCTTAGCATGAAAATATGCCAAAGCATTTCCTTGGTATTCAATTAATTCTTATTCTGCTGGATGTTGGGTTAACACTTTATGAAGCCAATCAGTTTCTTCTTTAGAGTTCTGGGAATTCTCACCCAGTCCCATGCAATGATCTTGCAAATTATCAGAAACCTGTACTTGTCAGAATCCTTTCCATGAATCTCCTTCACTTTAGGTTTATAGTTACTTGAAGTTGATTATCTTTCAGGAACATACCAGAGTAAAACACTGAACTCTTTGTGAATGGTAAGATATAAAATGGCCATGGTTAAAGATCTGATGAGAGTTAATTATAATAATATAATTTATAAGGAGATTTGGTAATTCTGTGGCATCCATTTACATAATAACTAGATTTATGACTGATAGCATTATGCTGGAACCATTAGATTTCTATAAATTTCATACAATTCCTGAGACACATATTAATAGCACATCCATACAAATATAACTAAAAAAATGTTTAGCATTACATATTATTTGACTATACTTCCCATGTAATTTAATATATCAAAAAAGCCTAATTGGTTTAATAGCTCTATTTTTACAAGGAGGTATATACTTTTAATGTGTTCTAAGGGCCCATTTAGAAAATCCAAAAGTTAATTTGAGGTCAAGAAAAAGACTTAACTCAGAATTTGATTTTTGGAAGTTTGTCAAAAATATCAAGGATTTGAAACACTTGATCAAAATAAGATTGCAGGTAACTGTGACATAATAGTCGTTCATTTAACCACAGTGTTAATTAAAGGACTTCAAAGGCAAATGCAGAAAGTTATATAGTTGTAGAAAAACCTTAGCTCTTTTAAAAGAGATGACTCAGTTTTCTCAAGCGATCAAAGCCTACTAAAGACAACATGAAGCACCAGAAATTATCTTGGTAAACACAGAATCTTTGTTTCCTAGGCCAATTACATTAAAGGTAAAGAAAAACCTTTCATATCTTCCTGTTAAAAGCAGACCAATACTCCAAGAAAGTCTTGTTGTTTTAACAAGAGAGAACTAAATTTTAATTTTGCATTAGTGTACTTTTGATACTAATGTTCAAGTTTCAGAAAAACTTATAAATAATTCTCTTCTAATTTTAGCCAGTTTGATCACAAATAATATTCCTTTTACAAGATTCATCTTCCACAAACCTTCTACAGATTTCTTTATCCATTTGGCTATTTTTGCCCTGGGCTTGTCCTTTTCTTATTTTGAAACAGCCAGACATGCTACTTTAGCACAGAAATTATTCTTTATCTCTTAACGAAACAAAAATTTCTCATAACTTATGGCTTTGTCTTACTAAAAGCACCTGTTACCTTTCCTGCACACTTGCATATAGAATTGTTTCCCTAATTCTTTCTAGTAATTTTAGTTACATATATTAATTAGAATTCATAAACATAAGTGACCTTAATTTCCAGTGAACACTATGAAGCAAGCAATTTAAAATTGTCTGTTGCATCAGCAATCTGCAGATTGGCAAAGAACCATCATTTTTAGAAGCATGTGCTTTCTCATAGTACAATTTGTTGATGAGGCACAAAACATGTTTACTAACAATCCCAAATCTTTAGTCACTTTGTAATAAGAAACTGTAGAGAAGACAAAATTTTATCTCTATTCTTAGATTTTTCTTGCTAGGGCTAAGAATTAAATTATTATTTGTAAATATTTCCCTTAGTCTCAAGTTTTCAACTTCTCAACTTTTCTGCCAATAAAAGTGTTAAAACTTCTGATATAGGGAGGACATCTTTCACATGGGAATGTTATCTTAGTTACGTCTATTTAACTCACTTTTAAAAAACAATTATGCTTGGATTGCTCATGAAGATGAGATAGCTGGCCATTATCTTATTTTTTTCTGACAAATTTTATAACATGGAGATAACATGAGCTTATTGTACCAATAAACCTAGGTAGGAAAAGCCATACATCTGTATTATATTTAATGCCAACAACTCTGAAGATATGCCTATTTTAATCAGACCAACAATATTCTTATTTGCAAGGATTACCCAAGTCATGTGAACTCGAAAAGCATTTGAGTTAGCTCTTATTTTCTTAAGAAAATACTTTATTTATATCAGCACTTGTTTTTTAGGCTAATTAGAATTCGTTCATAATTTAATTTTAGCAATATCATAAAGAGATAGAACAATATCACACCTATACATGCAGACATACATAAACATATAGACAGAAATACGTCTTATAGCTTTCATTCTAAAATTTTAGTCATGTGGTACAAAAATACAATCGTTTTGTATGCCTCAGCATGGATACTTCCGGTCTTGCCTTATAGCCAGAGACTGGTGTCTCCTTTGTTTTTTTTTGGTTTGTTGTCAAGGTTGAATGACAGACCAATTCATTAGTTTCTTTCTCCCCTTAAGAAAGAATTTTGGGGCACAGCAAAGATCATGACAACATGAAAGAGGTGAGCTCTTACTCGAGGGGGGAGGGGGGCCTGGGCAATATATGTAACCTTAACACATGTACCCCCATAATACGCTAAAAAAAAACCAAAAAAACATGAAAGAGGTGGACAGAGTTGGCAGAGCATATGTCCAGAGTGGTTTGAGAAGAGGGTTTTCAGTCACCTGAGTGGTCCCCATAGGAGAAGCAGGATTGAATAGAGAAAATAGAGGACTAATTCCTACAAACATTTATCTGAAAATGGTCCAAGTGTCAACTGGACAGATTTGGACATGGAGGCCTTTCAGACTTGATTTGAAACTCTCACCTAAGAAAGATTTTTTTTTTTCTCTCTGAGAGATTGGTTGGTTATTATCCCAGGAGTGAAGACTCGGGGCTTTGTCTGATGGGGAATAGGGCAGGCCAAAAGGAGTGGATCCATCAGATTGCTGATGTAAAAATGGACATTTTCTCTTCCAATGGCCTGGCTGTTTACAATAAAGGCACTCATCTCAGGGCAGAGGGTTCTTTACTTTGGGGCCCCTTGATTTAAAATACATATAGAAGGTCCTTTTGATACCTGTAGCAGTTGTACATAAATACATGTTCCTGTTTGCCTTTTGTAAGGAGTTTCTCCACTGTGGCCACTGTAATCTAAGTTACATTTGGCAAGGTTCACTTGTTTCTCTAGAAAAGCATAATTTCTGGACCCATAGTTATTATATGTTAAATTGGCTGGAGTTCCAGATGGAAAAATTCTAGACTTCTTGGCTCAAGATAAAGCCATGATTCCTTGTCTTCTAGTAACCTCACCCACCTACTGAACCCAGTCCAACTTCTATCTGACCCAGTCAGACACCTGAGGCCTCCATAAAGGAGCCAGTACTATTTTATGTCACAACTTCTGAACCCAGTCTGGATAAAAAAAATGTTCAAATAAATTTGGAGAGCTCAAAACACAAGAACTCACCTACCACCCGAGTTGCCGTGAGAGAGCAGTGGGGACACTGGGCCTGGTAGGCACCTTCACTTGGTCACTTTGTGCTCCTGGGGGTCACTGGGGACTTCAAATCCCACTTCTGATGCTGAACTGTTAACAGAAAAACATTAGACAGATGAAATTTAGCAGAGTTTATCTGAGTCAAGAGCGATTCACAAACCAGGTGTGACTCAGAACTAGGAGACATGCAGAGCTCCACCCAGCAACAGGGCAGGCAGGCAATATCTATAGACAGAAAAAGGAAGTGATGTTCAGAAACAACCTGATTGGTTATAGCTAGCCATTTTTGCCTTATATGGACTTGGTCTGATCAGTTGGCAGCCTGTGATTGGCTGAAGCTCAGCTGCCATGATTGGCTGAGACTCAGCTATTTGTTACAAGAATATACGCTGAAGTTAGGTTGAAGTTTTTAATTTATTTTTTCTATATATATTAGTTGGCCAATTAATTTCTTTCTATTTATAGTAGAGACGGGTCTCACTCTTGCTCAGGCTGGTTTTGAACTCCTGACCTTGAGCGATCCGCCCGCCTTGGCCTCCCAGAGTGCTAGGATTACAGGTGTGAGCCACCGTGCCTGGCATGAAGTTTGTTTTTTTGTTTTGTTTTGTTTTTTACATAGTAAGTTAGATTGCAGTTCACTATCTATGGAGGTGGGTTTAGGTCAAATTTAATTTAATTTAACATATGTTTGTATATTTATGTGTCATGATATATTCCTTCTGATAATCTGGAAAGTTTATACTCTTCAAAAATTTTTTTAAATAATAATTTTCATACCATAAGATGCATTCATTTTAAGTGTAGATTTGGATGAATTTTGACAAATGTATACTTTTGTGTAACCACAACCCCAATAAGATAAGATCATTTCATTACCCCCCAAAGCACCCTATTCCCTATATGATCAATCCTCTCTGTACTCCAGCTTCAAGCAACCCCTGACCTACTTTATGTATCATAGACTAGCTTTGCTTGTTTCAGAAATTCATATAAATGGAATTTTACCCTTTTTTTTGTCTGATTCTTTCACTTAGCTCAATGTTTTGAGGTTTATTCCTGTTGCATGCATGATTAGTTTGTTCTTTCTTACTCCTGAGCAACATTCCATTGACTGGATATACAAAAATTTTTTTATCTGTTTGATCTGAGGTGGACATTTGGGTTATTATGAATAAAGCTGATACAGATATTCATGTACAAATCTCTCAGTGGACATATGTTTTTATTTCTCTAAGCTAAATACCTAGGAGTGAAATGGCTGGGTCATATAGCAGGTGGATGTGCTTAATTTTTTAGCAGAATCATTTTCCAAAGTGGTTGTACCATTTTACCCTTCCACGAGCAACGTATAAGAATTCCAGATGCTCCATATCTTCCTTAATACTTGGTATTCTCAGTCTTTTAACTTTAGCCATTTTAGTAGGTGTGCAGTGATTTCTTGCTGTGATTTTAATTGTGCAATATCTTGATGATTAATGAGGATGAGCGCATGTTTGCATAGGCTTACAGACAGACCATTAGTATATCTCTTTTGGGTCTTTTGCACAACTTTTTAGTTTTTGTAACAGATCATTAAATACACTTATTTCTCCTCAAATGCCATCCTTCAAGAGATTGGCATAATATTATTATAGTTTCTCTATAGGGTTATTTATAAAATTGATGGACTTTATTATTTTCTTTGAGCGGTTTAGGGTTATAGAAAAAATTGAAGGAAAAGCACAGAGAGTCCTTGTTCCTCCCATTCCCCCAATTTTAACATCTTACATTAGTGTGGTAAATTAGTTACAATTGATAAACAAATATTGGCATATTGATTATTATTAACTAAGGTAAATAGTTTACATTAGGGTTCACTCTTTGTGTTGTACATTCTATCATTCTATGGGTTTTGACAAATGTTAAATAATAACAGGCATCCACCATTATATTATCAAACAGAGTAATAGTTTCACTGGCCTAAAAATTCCCTGTGCTCCACCTATTCATCCCTTCTTCTCTTGTGGAGTCCCTAGGGATCACTTATCTTCTTACCATTTCCATAGTTTTTCCTTTTCCAGAATGTTCTATATTTGGAATCATATAGTATGTAGCCTTTTCAGATTGGTTTCTTTCATCTAGCTCAATACATTAAAGATTAAACTCAATGAAGTTATTTGTGTACCTTTAAAAAGTATTGATCCCTGTATCTTCTCTCTTTATCTAATTTTTGTTATTGTGATTTCTATAATATCATAACATTTATATACACATAAACAATTGTAATGCTCACAATTGTTTAATCTTATTGGTTGTTCATTCCCAGTTCTTTTACTATAACTTGTTAATTATTTTCTTGATTGACTAGAATTTTCTTCAGTAGTTTCTTCAAAAAGTATTAATGGTAATAACATTCCTGAATATGTACATATTTGAAAATTTCTCTTGCTTTTCTGTTTCCTTAAGGAATCTGTAGACCTCATATCACTTTTTGTTGATTTTTTTTGTTTTTTTTTTTTAACCATTGACTGTTGCTATGGAGCAGTCTAAGAACAGAGTGATATTTTCCCCTGTAGATGTGATATCATTTTTTTCTCTCACTTCTTATCCATAGAATTATTTCATTATTACTGGTATCCAGCAATTTTTACTACTCAGTCTTTTGTCAACTTGTAGATCTCTACTTGGGTAAGTTTTCTTGTATTTTATCTTTTACTTTTTTCCCCTGTTTTATACGTTTCCTCTGAGACAGCTGATCCGCCCCTGGAGGCACACACACCTCAGTAGGCTGTTCACGTATAACCCTTCTGTGCCCTGGGCAATGCTAGCCCTCAGTGCATGGGATCTGGTCTGCAGGTCCGACCTCTGGGTCCCAGAGTTCAAACTGTATCCCCACCAGGGAGAGGAGTTCTGGTCCCAATTCACCCACAGGGAGCCCAAGCTGGGTCTGTGTCTCTCAGCCTCTGAGTTGGCACCGTTCTCCTGGGAACACCGTGCCAGCAGCACCTGGGAGGGCGGGCGGGTAGGGAGCTCACAGTCTGAGTTCCCCTGAGTCAGGTGTAGGGTCCCAAACGGGAAGGTCCCGTTCCCTGGAGGTGCCTCCGGCTGGTGGCTGTATTGTCTCTCTGGGCAGCTGCGGGTAGGGTCGGAGGAGGGGAGGAGGAGGCAATATGGCGCCTGCCGCGCGGCTCGGGTCTGTGCACACGGAGGTGCCCCGAGGGATTTGGGAGTCTGGTGCTGCGTTCGCTACAGGCTCACTGCTAGCTGGCGGTGGCCATCTCTGGGCTGGTGTCCGCAGGTCTCTCCACCCGCTGGAGAGCCCACCAGCAGTCCCAAATGCAGGGGAGGGGAAAGGTGATTTATCCAGCTACCCTTGCCGCTGGTCTCCGGGCTGCTCCGGCGGTCTCAGCTTCCAGTTCTCCTCCGCAGCCTCCTCCCGTGGAGTCTCCCGGGGTCTCAGGTACCCTTCTTTCCGGCCCTCGTCTGCTGTTTGCTCACCTTCTTGCTTCTTTTTTCTAATTTCTGCTAGAATCTGTCTTTTCTGCGGAGACACTCTGTCTGGTGGTGTTTCTCGTCCGCCATCTTGATCCTCCTCATATGCCTTTTATTTGACATTTTCCTTTTCTTTTTTCCCTACATTTTCTTTGCATAAGTCAGATAGTGGCTCTTTTAAAAATTATTGCTCATTTTTAAATGGGCCTTGGGGCTTCTTCCTAGAATAGCTATTTGCTGAAGGATGGCACGTCAGAAGGTCTGGAAGGGATAAATCGGGATGAAGGCAGTTTGAGTAGCAGGTAGGTTGAGTTTCAGCCTGTGGTCTCTAGAAATATTTCTATAAGAACTTTCCCTGTAGCTCTGATTCTTCTTCAAGTTAGCAAGAAGACTTCTAGACTCTCAGTGTATAACACAGATTTTTTTTTTTTTTTTTTTTGAGACAGAGTCTCGCTTTGTTGCCTAGGCTAGAGTGAGTGCTGTGGCGTCAGCCTAGCTCACAGCAACCTCACACTCCTGGGCTCAAGCAATCCTCCTGCCTCAGCCTCCCAAGTAGCTGGGACTACAGGCATGCGCCACCATGCCCGGCTAATTTTTTGTATATATATTAGTTGGCCAATTAATTTGTTTCTATTTATAGTAGAGACGGGTCTTGCTCTTGCTCAGTCTGGTTTCGAACTCCTGACCTCGAGCAATCCGCCCACCTCGGCCTCCCAGAGAGCTAGGATTACAGGCGTGAGCCACCGCGCCCGGCCCTATAACACAGATTTTTAAAAGAATGTATTTGAGCTTTTATTCCTCCTCAGTTGATAATAATTAGCAGCTGTATTTTCCCTCCCTCCGTGCCTGGCCAATATATTTCTTACTGAAAAGTCATGTATTTTCGTACTCTCATTCTTTCTCTCTCTCTGATACACACAAACACACACACACGTCTAAGTGTTACCATGTTATCATACTATTTATATGGCTCTGCAATTAGATTTTCTCAATAAATATAATAGTTATCATCTTATGTCAGCCTATCTACAGCTACCTCATTCTTTAAAACAAAAACAGCTATAAATCATTTTTTTTGGTATTTTGTTCAAAAAATATATATTTTATATGCTATAGGGTTAATTTGATATAACCTACTCCACCATTACTGGAACTGGAAATTCAATTAAATGTGATCTTGGTTTGGGATTTTATAGTTCAAAAGTTGCTTGTGTTATAAGACAGATATTCAGTATACAGTAAATATGCATTAAGTTATTTTGAGTCTACCTCTTTATTAATATGTCTTACATTTACCTACTTCTTTCTATCATCACTACTACTATCCTAATCCAAGACAGCACTCATACTTGCCTGGACTTCTGCAGTAGCCTCCTAGCAGGTTGCCCCATGTTCACACTTGGTCTCCTGGGGTAGACATCCATTCCTATTTTTTGAGGGGAAACATCCAGCTCCATTAGGTACAACCCTACAGTATCAAACAAGGTGTTCTCCACTCCTTCCATCCCCTCTCATCTGGGCCAGGGGTGAGCATGTAACCTCTGCTAGGCATTCAGATTCTCTGTCCTAGGAATTTTAATTTTGAGCAGAATATAAAACAGACTGAAAATGACTGGAATTATTCACTCCTTTGGCAGGGTCACAAGAAACTATCTATTAATTTTTGTCTTGAAGCTGCCAGGTTCTTTAGGTTTTGATTCTGGGCATAGCCTTCTAATGTATTGCTTTATTTATTTAGTTTTGCATGTTAACCTGGGTGAGTTTCTGTTGCTTACAACCAAAGAATTTTTAGCTAATATTAACTGTATTAGTTAGGATAAAGACTAAGCTGCTGTAACAGAGACCACAAAATAAGTGTCTCAAACAAGATCTTAGTGTGCTCCTCTTGTTTCTGTCTCCTGTAACCGTGCAGATGTGGTGAGCAGGTCCGTGCCCAGGTTTCCTGGGCTCAGGCGGCTCCTTCCTTGTTGCTCTGCCAATTCCCAGGCTGTTGTCTTCATCATCTTGGCTGATGCTGGGTCACTGCCACATCCACGTTCCAGCCCACAGAAAAGGCCAGAGGAAGCCTGGGGCAGACACTCCTCTTTTAAGCAAGGAGTGCAAATTGCTTGCAAATTGCTTGCACTGCTTATGTTTACACACTAAGACAAGACTTTGTTTCGTTCCACATAGGGCTACCAAGGAGGATGAGAAATGGAGGCTCTAGCTGGGTGAACATGTGCCCAGAAAAAGGGAAGAAAGATTTGGGGATAACTGGCAGTTTGCCAATGGTAGCTTTCAGATCCATTCCTTACAGAAAGGGCCAGAACCCAAAAACCTAAACATGCCATCTTCCTGCTTAAAACCCTTCCATGGCCTCCCACTGTGGTGGGATTAGGACCAAGACCGTCACATGGCTTATAAGGCCTGCAGGCTTTAGCTCTTCCCACCCCCCCAGCCTCCTGGCCCTCTCAACCAACCCAGCACTGTCCTCATTTGTTACACAGTTCACATTTTAAAAAAATGCATCACGGGTTGTTTCCTCTTCCTGAGACGTTCTTTCCTCCCTTTCCTCTGGCCTTGTCCTTCATCTCTCAGCTCAGATGTTGTTCTTTTCAGGAAGCCTTCACAGATCCCCAGAGAAGGTTAGAATCCCCTGAGATATACTCTTTCAGCATCCTGTACTTAATTTTTGTATCTTTTTTTGTTTTTGTAAAATGAACTTAAATAATCATGTCACCGATTAATAGATTTATATTGTCCTCCCCTGTCAGAACGCAGCCCCATGAGGACAGAAAACACACCTACCCTGTCATCTTGGAATCTACAGCACCCAGCACAGTGCTTGGGAGAGAGAAGACCCACAAAACATGCCAGGTGAGTCAATGGATGAAAGACGCAGGTAGAAGTTTGGGGTAATGCCATGTTTGGGATGAAGTTTTCTTGGTTTTAAGAGACTGGGGCAGATTCTAGGTGTGTTCATGAATGTTCTGAAGCTGGATTCTCAGAGATGTGGGGCATAGGGAGGACGAAGGAGCCAAAGGCAGCAGCCACTAATTGAAATTTGAGCTGGGAGGACTCTCTGCCCGGAAGCTCCTCAGTTCTGAATCTCAGCAGGACTGAGCGAGACCTTAGGACACTCTGTTCTCCTTGGCCAAGTACTTGGACAAAAAGAAGGGCAGGAAGAATGGGGAGAGAGAAGGAAAAGGAGAAGAAGGAGTGTTAAGAAAAGAACAATGCACGTGATGAGTTCTGTGCAGAGCAGCTGAGATGTTCGCGCTGGTTAACAAGGACAGTGGAAATTCTTAACGTTTGTCTGGGCTTCCGTGTTTGTGAAGCACGTTCACAGATGTCACTTTGTTTTCTTCTTCCTACAGCCCTTTGAGGTGGGCAAGACGGTGTTTATTCTCTCTATTTAAAAATAGCTTTCATTGTTTTTATTTCTTATTGCAAAAATGATACACGTCTCCTGTCGAACCAAACACAGATAAACAAAGAGAAGAAAAAAACCGTATCACTCAGAGATAGAAGCTGTTAACACACTGATGTGCACCATATTTAGTATTCTCATTTTACAGACAAAGACAAAGTCAGAGAGAATGAGTGTTTGTGTGTCTATTTCTTTCTTTACTCATGTAATGATTGTTTTCTAACAACCTCTGTACAAAAAGGATTTGAGGTGTTGGGCTGACAGAGCCAGTGAGTTGACAGACCCAAACTGAGCCCATTTCTTCAGACTCCTATGAAGGAGCCTCAGCGATTTCACTCCAGAATATGACTCCCTCATATAAAGAGTATTTTGAATTAAAGGTCCTTAGAGATCAAACAGGCCTTTGGAGGGCTTTCCCTCTATCTGCAGAAATCAGATGGCACCATCAAAAAGAACAATTGGCTTCCCTCTCCTTCCTGTTATCTTGATATATTGCAGGAAAGAAGATCAAGAATCCAACCAGACCCGGCCAAAATTATTTTAAATAAAATACCCGTATCTCAGATTAGTTTAAGAAGAAATTGTTTACAAGTCAATCTGTTTTCCCCATCCATTCATCCTCCCTGGCAACCATTTATTGCCCCTAAACAGAATTACCTGCATTCCTCTTCTCCCCCTCCCCCGAAGGGAGGGTATACACATTTCTGGACTTCATCGGGATATGGGGTAGTCACTCTGACTCTCCCCACGTGCACGGTAAATAAACCTCTTTCTGTTATGAATCTGCCTTAAGTGAGTTGATCTTTCAGAGAACTTTCAGGGGAAAGGGGAAGTTTTCCCCTCACCCCCACGCTTGTTTAGAATTCATGTGGCCGTTTCTGCTTCTCCAGCCTATGAAACCCCGTGAATAAGAATCCACCTTCCCCTCCGGGAGAGGCCTGGCTTAGGAGCCCGGGGACAGGGGGCTGGCCACGGAGAGTGGGCAGGGGGCAGGCTGTGACTCGAGGCACGAGGAAACCTGACAGAGCCCAGGACAGATGGACAGACTTTTTGCTGCCACATTCTGATGCCCAACCTAACAGATGACAATTAGCAGCCACCAGCTGTAAAGTGACTGTGAATAAAATGAGTCTTCTTCTTTTTTTTTTTAACACATTTAGCAAAACGTTTAAAAATCCAACAATGAATGTTTGCTGCCAGCCCAGAGGCTGTGCAGCACCAGGAGGGCTGGTTATTTGCCATGGATGAGGGTCCTATTGGGTCTCTGTCTCTCTCCAGCTAGGGCAGGACACCCCATCTGAACAAAGGGAAGTGGCTCCTGCAGTGTTGCCACTTTCCTGATGCCTGACCTTGAACATGACCTTCGTCTTCAGTGTCCCCATCTGTCTTCTTGCCCTGCTCCAAGCCTACCCTGTGCCCATTTTCTACATGGTCTTTAAAAAACCTATGTTAGCTTGAATTAATTCTTTAAAATTCTCGTAATGTCAGCCCACAGCAATGGGAGTAAAACTCCGCGTCCTTGTGGGATGTAGACCCATGCCACCTGGCACTCCCTACTTTTCCAGCCATGTCTTTTACCACAGTCCCCCTTGATGGCTAAGATGCAGCCACACTTGTGACAAGCCACCCTGGGTACCTGACTTGGGGCCTTTGCGTTTCCTCTTCCCTCTGCCAGGAACTCTCCTTCCCGAGAGAATAGCGCAGGCTTGTTCCTCATCCAGGTCACGGCTCAGATGTCACCTTCTTGCCTGGACACCCCAGCTAAAGGGGACTCCTTAGCCCTCATTTGCTTTGTACTGGCTGACTCCACTTTATTTCTCTGATTTTACTTATCGTGTTGAATTTATAGTCTTTCCTCTTACACTGTCTTTACCCCAAGCCCACACACATATCTAGAATGCAAGCCCAACAGGGGCTGACGACTGTGATGGGGCTAGCTCTTTGATAGATCAAATCAATATATTGACATGAAATCAATATAACTATGCAACATATTCTAAAAGTTAAAAATCGCAACCAGCAAAAAGATCCTAAATATAGTCTTCCCCTAAACAATCACTGTCTTCCTTTGTAGACCCCAGATGGTTTTTAGGGCAAATACTATGCCCTCTTTTATATGTGTGTCTTCAGTACAGGGTTAGAGGATATCAAAATGCCTGCAACCATATCTGTCCAACATCTCAAGGGGGATGGGAAGGGATTTTGTCATGCAGTCCTTTCTGTAATAAAAACAGTGGTGGTTAAGATACTTTTGTCTTATAGTTGCAGCATCTGCCCACACTGGGTGTCTCTGTCTGCTGGCTTGCATGGCTGTTGTGGACCAGCTATGGAGCCCACAGCCCCTCATGCCCCTTCTAGATCTTCCCCCAGAGTCTCAGAATCCTGATTGGCAAAGGCTTGTGTGTGGCCCATAGAAAAAGGACCAGTTTACCTGTATCAGTGATGCTGGAGGTTTGCAGGTGGTGAGAGTCAGACACCAGTTTTGCTTCCTCTGCATGGTTCCAGAATGTTCCTTATTCACCCTCGCTTCATGTCTCTCTTCCTTCCACAATGGCTGGTACTGCTGACTTCAGGACCAAGTACAGACCCTCACAAACCACTAATAGGCAACCGTGATCACGGATGACCTAAACCCTGTAACAAACCTGTCCTATCACTCATGCTGCTTCTGCTTCTCTAATGCAACCTCCCTGACAAATGCACACCCCCTTGGGTCTTCTGGTACAGCCTGAGAAGCTATGCATTCAAATGTTGCTCAACAGGGCTCTGATGAAACCATTTTTATGCAGCTTTGAGTGTTTTGCTCTTTGCTCCCTGGAAACTGTCAGAAGAAGGGGAACTGATTCTTTCCTTCCCCTCTCTCTCTTTCTTTCTCTCTCTCTCTTTCTTTTTAAAGCCCCTGCAGCCATTGTTCTGGGGCATCAGGAGTCCTTAATAATGACAAGATAATTACACAGGGAGACAGTCAAGAGAGGATTCATCACCTGGTTGGATTTTTTTCCTGCAAGCCAAGAAACCCAGGCCAAGTTTCTGAAAACTCAATATTTGAAAGTGCCCATCTCATTTGAGGGTGTGCGCCCTCTTCTTTCCAAAATCTACTCAATGCCAAGTCCTCCTTTTAGGCAGGTGTCCTGTCACCTGGTCCACAAGGGGTTAATTGCCCAACTGCCCACGGACTCTATGGGTTATTCCATATTTATTTCAATTATATAAGTATACTGGACCAGTGTATTTATTTTAAATCACATTATCTACAGCTTCCCAAGCATGTGTCAACAAAAAGAACGGTTTCAATTTAGTAGACTTTGAAATGGTGTGCAGTTTATCCTCACTTCAATTATATCCTCTACAGTAAGTCATGGGTAGCTTCAGGATTATTCAGGGCAAGGTAATGCTATCTGAAAGCATTGATTTTTCCCTCCTCTTCTAGAACAGTTCACTGAAGGATGCACTGGAGTCTCCTTTAAGGAAACACAAAAATACATTTCTCAGCTGCAACTTCTGAGAAAGCTCAATCTTACAGACTCTGGATGAAGTTGCTGAAGAAGTTTCTCACTTTTAAAGAAAGATGTGCAAATCTGGTTGCAAAGGAGTGACCACAGCAGGAATCACGTTTCCTGGTTCGAAATGGGAGGAGATGGGCCGAACAAAGGAGGGGGGGAATGTCAGAGAATTCCTCTACTCTAGCTACTTATAAGTAAATATGTATTGGGCACCTACTATGTGCCAAGCTGTGGGCTAGGAGCTGCAGATACAGTGGTAAACAATAAAGAGCAGAGCTGGCTTCATGGACATATGACCCATGCCTTTGCCTAAGGCAATCATGCTTAGGAGGGCCTTGCGCTTCCTTAATGTTCTATTGGTGTCATCTTGAAATTCTTAATAATATTCAAACAAAAGGCCCCACATTTTCATTTTATGCTGGGCTCTGCAAAATATGTCATTGGTCCTGATAAACACACAGTCATTTCTGCTTTCATGCAGTTTGGAATATAGACAGGAAGAGAGACATGCACTGTTTAGCTAAGCTACTAATTCCAATTGTGATCAGGCTGTTAAGGATAGGTCCAGTGTGCTGAGAGGCATGTGACACGGGGACCCAGTCTAGTCTGGAGTCGTGGAAGACACCCAGAAGAAGGGCCATGTAAGCAGATGTCTGACACATGCAGAGTTCTCTAGGGAATCATTGCAGACAAGGGAACAGCACGTGCGAAGGCCCCCAGGCAGGAAGGAACTGAGCCTGTTAGAATCAGAGGAGGCCAGTGTGGGTAGACCGCAGCGAACAGGGAGAATTTTGTCTTTGGCAGGAACACCAAGGTCTGGATGTTCTGTGGTCAGGTTTATATAAATTTTCCCACTTGGTAACTTGAGGCAACCCATAGATTCCTTTCCATTATTTCCATTATTGCTGTCTGATCCATGAATTAATTTATCCTCCCTTAATATTGCTGTTCTCTGGAAGGGGGAGGGGCATTTCACAAATACCAAATCTCTCAAAATATTAATCATTCTAAGTTATGTAAGTTGAAATAATATATAAATAATAATTACTGAGCATTTATTCAAGAATCTAGAATGAAGATGTTATGCACAAACTTAACCACAGCCCGGGCAGTATTTGCATGCTTAGTCTGAACAATGTTTGTAAATTTATTATACCACTGCATGCTGCGTGCACCATTTTATTTTTGTTTGTTCTTTACCGAGACCTCTTTGACACGTAGAAGCAGAAGTTCCCTAGACCTTGGCTTTTTAGAATTTGGTGAATGTCCCTCAGCAGGCTCATACAGCTTGTGATTTTATAGTTTGTTACTCTTTCATCTCTCCTCCTTCAAAGCTGTAGAGAGCTACTCTATTAAAGTCTCTTTACAGGTGAGCGGGGAATGCCACGCTATTCGTGATGGGGAAAAAAATTGAAATCCACTGTACATTAGAAAGTTTACTTGGCTGAAACATCTGTAATTTGAAGTCTTGGGGGATAGTCAAACTGGAAGTGCTGGGGGGAGAAAAAAGAACTTCCAGCGATGAGTACTTAAATAGCCCCATAAATCACATTTTAAAAGACAGTCCATATGTTTACCAAATTGATTTCTCTGGAAAAACGGAAGAAAAATGTAAAATAAAAGGATAGAAAACTCTACAAATGACCCTCATCTGGTGCCATTTTTACAGTGATATCCTTTTGACATCTCGCTTTATGGCCTGCTTAAAAATTTCAGGCCGGGTTGACTTGACTGGCAATCATTAGCATGGGAAAAAACTTTGGGCTCAGTGATGGTAGCAGATTTTTTTTAAAGTTTTTATCTCTTTTAATTTATTAAAAGAAGTTATATTTATGGATTTTCTAATATTAAACCATTCTTGTATTTCTAGGATTAATCCAGTATGGTTGTGATTGTGATGGATTTATTTAAACCATGTTAACCACGTTTATGTGTGGCATTTAGTACATTCACAATGTTGTACAAGCATTTCCAGAACTTTTCATCATCCCAAACAGAACTCTGTACTCATTAAACAATAATTCCCCACCTCCCTTCATCCAGTCCCAGAATGGGGAGTTATTGTTTTTCTCTATTCTGCTTCTGTCTCTATGAATTTGCCTTTTCTAGGTGCCTCATAAGTGTTTAAGTGGACTCCTGAAATATGTGTCCTTTTGTGTCGCGCTTATTTCCCTTAGCATAGTGTTTTCAAGGTTCATCCATGTTGGAGGATGTATTAGAATTTCATTTTTTAAAGGCCGAATAATATTCTGTCATATATATTTATATAACGCTCTTTATCCATTCATCTGGTGATGAACATTTGTGTTGTTTCCACCTTTTGGCTGTTGTGAATAATGTTAGTAGCAGGAGTTTTGTTTGGAAAAGAAGTGGGTAAGCTTGCCCTTCTCTTCTTGTCAAGAGGAATGGGTAGTATGTGAATCTTGTCCCTGTCCTTAGTGCCTCTGTAGAAATGGGAATCCTGTGCCCTTTGTTATAGCAGATGGGCTAGCACAGTGGCTAACCCTACGGCTTTGGAATCAGACAGTTGTGGGTTCAAATCCTGCTTGAACCATTGTCAAGATAGGAGACCTTGGGCAAGCTTCTCAACGTCTCTAAGCCTGGGTTGGCTCATGTGTAAGGGAGATGACTAGACCTTCTTGGAAGGGTTACTGCAAAAATTAAGTAGTATTTGAAAACCCTTTAATGAGCAGTGCTTGGAAAGCCCTTGGCTCAGTCATGTGTATGTGTGTGTGTTTGTGTGTGTGCATGCTGAGAACACAACTGTGCATAGAAAGCACTCGGCAACAGGGGCTGTTGTTCTTACCAATGAGAATCACCAAGCAGAGCCCTGTAGGGGGAGAACCTTTGCCTCATGACCACCCTGTTACAAGATAGGGGGTGCTGGGTAAGCACTCCTCGCTTATGAGAAGACCGGAACATCGAAGCTGGAAGGGAGCTTAGTGGGACCCCAAGTCTCTGCTCACTGGTGTCACCTGGGGAACATTATTCTGCAGCCTCATGGGCTCCCTTCAGGCCTGAATCGAGATCTCTAGGGAGAGACTCGGGAATATGACTTAGGAATGTCTGAGATGGTTTTGAAGGGCTGTCACGTCCTGGGGAACCTCTTCTTTGGATTCCTTGTTCTTCCCACTGATATTTTAATACTTTAGGTGGTTTGTAAACACCTGTGTACCCATTCATTGACTTAAGACTTCTGTACAAACTTAACTTTTGCCTTCTTTTACTGTAGGAACTGTTGGACTGAGGAAGGAATCATTGAGATTTTGGAAACCCATAGTTTTTGGAAAAGGAAACTTTCCTCTCAAAAAGTAATTATGGAAATTTCATAAAAGGGTGAAAGATTTTCGAGGAGAGTCAGACATAAAAATTACACTTTGCAAATTGTACTTGGAAAGAATTATTTTATTTGAAGCAGCAATTCCCAAGCCTAAATCCCATAGCTCCTGTAGCCTCAGAATGTTCATTTCATCCTTGTCAACTGCTTTCTCCTCTAATACGGCCTAAATATGCCATTTAAATAAGAACTTCTTCTACTTAGCTGCTTCTTGGGGTCTATGTATATGAATCCTAAGAGGTGAATCTGTGCAAAGAATTTGATAACCATGGCAGGTCATCAGGTGGATAATTTCGTGGCTCATGACATCTTTGGGATTTCCCTCTTTGTCTATGTAAAAGGCCATCTTTCCAAAGAGGAAAATGTCTGTCCAGCATGCTTGAAGGCATTCCTAGAAGTTGACTTTGTTCATTCATTCATTTATCTACTCATGCCACAAATATTTATGAAATGCCTGCTGTGTGCCAGGTACCATGCAACTAGGAATATATGGAATGTATGGGTGACTCCCACTGACGCAATCCCTACAATGTTACAGCTTCGCAGTGCAGGGCAAGAGAGCCTTTGTAGGGGTAATTGCAAGTGTGAATCATGCTACACAGAGAAGGTGAATGTGCACCGTGGAAGCATGACCCAACACCCTGAGTAGAAATGGAGGTGGGAAAGGACTTCAACATGGATCCTTTTGAGGAATGAGTCACAGGCATTTGTCTCCTGGTGTTACCAAATTGGAACATATGAAGAATTGACATGGGCTGTGTCTGCGATGCTAACACTACTATTTGAAGAGTGTCATCTCTCTGATGAGAAATAACTGATTTGTTTACTTTGACATTGATTAAATATAAATAAATTTGTGTGGGTAAAGTGGATGTGACTTTTTCCACGTGTAAAAAGTGAATTTTAGTCCAGGGAAGCAGGGATGGGAAGGTCAGTTAGGAGGCTATTGTAGCAGGCAACAGGGCCCTGGGATCAGCAAAACGACAGTGGAAATGACGAGGAAAGGAACATGCAATGGTGTAACGTTTTGAAAGCCATAACCACGTGGTTTTAGTTTCTTGTATTTCTCTCCAGCTCTTGGTACTTTTCCATTGAGTCATCCTGACACTGCCTTCCCTGCCTTAGCAGGGATTCAGACATAGAGTCTTGAAGGAGTTTAGGAAATGCCACCCCAAAATATAACACTTTGGTACGCTGATTACTTTGACCAGCTGATGTAGGCAGAGGCCTCTCTGAACCTCTCTTATCTGTCTAATGATAATCCTCCAAAAGGAGCTCCATTGTCATGAATCCCTCCCCAGGAATCTCACCAAGCAGGGAAGATGGGTTTGTAGCACAGGAGAGGAGCCTGGGGGGCCACATCATGCCCGGACAGACTTTGTCACAGGCTGTCACCTATTCTTAGGGCCCATTCATCTTTCCTGAAAATCATTTACTCTCCCCTAAGTTGCCTACATATCCCTTTCTTCTCCCCTACGAAGAGGGTATATAAGCTTCTAGATCTCACCGGGCTTGGGTACCCACTTTTCTTTCATGTGATGACCCCACACATAGAATACATTTGCATCCTTTTCTCTCGTTAATCTTGTTACTGTTGTTGTCTCTTGCAGACTCAATTTTCAGTCCCATAGAAGGTAGAGGTCAAGTTCTACCTTCCCTGCTGTCTCTTCTTGGTTTTGAGTTTCAAAAGTCTAGGCCTGAGAGGAACAGGAAGGCTCTGAGTTGCTTAAGAGGAAACACTCGTGGGTCTTCGTGCTAGAAAAATTTCCCGGATGTTCGGGCCCTTGCCTGTGTGCTTTGAGACTCCTTGCTCACCTTCTGCTGCTCTGGTTCGAGTCCAGGTGGGTTTGTCCAAGGCGAGGCATAAACGTTATGTCCGCAGGTGGGAGGGGGAGACATTAAGGTGTATCTCCCTGGTTTCTCTCTGCTTCTGGTGGCATCTCGGACAGCAGCTTCGTCACCTCCATAGTTCTAGTGGCCAGCAGGCAGCCACCCTCCTGCCTGTGGGGAGTGCCTGGGCTCTGGGAACAGCCCTTCTGCCCTGTCTATCCCGCTCTAGCGCAGCTGTTCCTGCATCTATCCAGGTCGCCTCATTGTCCCCTGTGGCGCTTTCAGCTTTTCGAACACCTCTGTTATTCAGTCTCCAAGTTACATGCCCTCAGCTTGGCCTGAGTTCTGCTTTTCTGATGGATGGTGACTGGTACCCTGGAACTGTCAGAGGGGCTCACGAGGAGGGAGAGAGATTGGTGGGGCTGGGGCTGAAGACAGCGGACCTGGACGGATCAGACAATGCCCAACCTTCACCTCGTCCAGTGACACCACAAGTTGCAGCTCCTAGTTGGTGAGGAATCAGCACCCTTCTATTATGAGCTGTCCTGATCTCTGGAAAGTGACCAACATCTCTCGGGCAGTGTTGCAGTAACCTTGTTTGTGACTCTAAACTATACTCTCTGTAGAAAACCTCCATCCAAGGCTCCAGGACACTCTAAACCCTCAAGACAGAGGATGGTGTCCTGGCCTCTAAAATCCCCATAGCCCAGGCCCCACGAGGGGTCAGGTAAGAACATTTGCATCTCATTTTGCTTTCTACTCAAGAACTGAGAAGGTTAAAGCAGGACATTACGTTAGAGACCATCTAGTCCAAGTTTCTCATTTTGCAGATAAGGGTGTTGAGGCTCAGGGAAGGGATTTTGGCTGCCCAAGAACTCCTAGCTCATCTTGCATCTACTACATTTTGGTGACTATTAACATCTTTTATGGAAAATCTCCACTCCTACCTTTCACACCCTGAAATAGTCTCGATTTTAAATTATTTTGTGTTTGAGAGTAGAAAGCAGCTACTGAACAGAAGTCTGCATGTGCCTGTATCTTTATCTCTCCATGCATATTCGGTTGTATAAAAATGTCAAAAATCTATTTTGGGGTTCTGCAAAAGAGAACTCTTTTCCGGAATGACACTTGAACTGTTAAATATCATCTCAAATCTCATTTTGGGGGCTATAACCTTCTAAAAGCCTGGCACAAGACTCAAGTGGATTAAGGTTGAAATTTTCCAGAGGCTTTGTCTCAGATCAGTGAAGTACTTCTAATCGCTTTCTGTCATCATCAAAACCAGAACAGCTTCTGAATCTCGTGGTCTACTGTCATTATTGAGAAGGACTGCATACCATGCTTGAAAGCATAATTGTTGACCAGAATTCCTGTTATTAAAACAAATTGAGAAGGAAAAAAAATCTGCATCCCTAACTTCATTAGACTTCTGGGGC